TAAAATTATGAATGCAAGACTTGAATGTTGTAAAGATATTGTTGCTTATTTCGACAAGTACAAATATGTAAATATGTATATTAAACGGAAAATGGTTCACAAACCGAACCGAACCGAACCGAACGTTAGAACATTGTGTTGGTTTGCAGCCTTGAATCGAACTATTGTGCTCCATTTAATTTATGCTTGAAACTTAGCTAACTTTTCTTTTCTTTTATTATTTCTTATTTGGTATTTGTTCATTTGAGATTGATTGCGTTAGTTTGCGGCAACTGTCCATTGAATGACACATTCAGTTCCTGAATGCGGCACCTTTGTTGCTTAATATCATAGCTCTGTCTATGGAATCTGGTTACAACTCAAAAGACTGCACATTTAAATAGTAAATTTATCTCTCTTTATTGTTTTATCTTAAAGTATACGAAATGTCTTTATTTGATAAAAGAAAAATGAGTCAGTTTTCGGGACTTTTTATTTCATATTAAAGATGCGCACTGAATTTGATCTCAGTTAATAAAATTGTCATCCACCAAACATGATTAGATAAATGCAGTGCTTGAGCTATTCATTATTATTTGAGTATCACATAAAAGTATTTGTTTTCAGATTAAGGTTTGGCTTAGGGCTCGGCTCATGGTAAAGAATAAAACGAAATTCCGGGTTCAACTCGGTTCAAAATTGGTTTGCCTGATAATCTGTAACCTCTAGTTCATGCTAGAATTAATGATAACAATCATTTAAAGCGTAAAACATATGTTTTTCTTTTAGTTTGACCGAATTCTGCATTTGATGGGAACCTACTACTCATGCGCTGGCATTAATGGAGTGGAATCGATAAAAGTTATCGATCCCAATTAATCAAATGCCAGCTGGAAGCTAGCTAGATATTTTGGGTATTTTTTACACATCAGGTGGGGTTGTCCACCGAAATGTGAAAACTTGTTTATAATATTGTTTTACGCGATTTGCTTATTTCGAATTCTTTTGACGGCTTTTTTTTGTATTTATTTTGTTTTTGTTTTTGTTTATTGTTGAGTATTTCAGCGTTTGGTGCTGTTGCCGCCGCTTGGCTTTCCCTTCTGCCGGGTACGGGCCGCCATTCCCAGGTGCCCAATTGATCGGAATCGACGCACTTGGGCACGCCCCGGGTGAGACGCATTCGCTTACATAATGTCCAGCCCCATGTGACGTATTAATTGAACTTTATGGAACTACGCGTCGAGTCGTGTGAACGTTGCAGATGCAGTTGCCGCTGCCGTTTATCGTTGCCGTTGCCGTTGCCGTTGTTGCTGCGTACCATTAAAGTCGACTCCTTTTGCTCACATAATCGAATGCTGTTGGGTCTGAGATACTGGGCTGGTTGCTATGCTATGTTTCTCGACGCATATCTCGACGCGATTGGCAATCCTCCAATCGACGCTTGTCGATCGCAAGTGACCTGCTTTCTCTTTTTACCCACTAGCCTTACCTGTTGCCGCTAAAACATAAAATAAATTGTAATGTTGCTGTTGGCAGTGGCTGTGGCTGTGGCTGAGGCTGTGGCTGTGGCTTTGGCATATTCGGATGTGGCCTGTCGACGATTCTGCAAAAGCATGTGTTAATTGTGGATGCTGGACAGTGACAGCTCGGACAGTGGATCACAGTTCAAATGCGCTCGCTCAAATGCTCAAACTGGGGTTGAAGGGGAACTCCTACTCGGCGCTCACTAAAAGCTAAACGAGTTTTCAGTTAAAAACATTTTCGCCGCTGGCGTCTTTTGTCACTTAACATGGCTTTGAACTTTGTTGTTAGAGCCATCCACATCCACATCCACATCACAAATGACGCTTAATGGCAATTATTAATGTACCAGTTTTACATTTTTTTTTATACTCGTGTTGCTCAGCATAACGTTAAATATGCCATATTACTTGTAAATAACAAGCCTTTGCTACAGCATCAGCCCCTTGGCTTATGAGTCAATGAGCTGTCCGGCTAGTTGGATAAAGATACCAAAAGTAGGAATGGGTGCACAGCATTATAATGAAACATACACCTTTATCGTTTTATACCCGTTTATACCCAGAGTCCGCCTCTGTCAATGTTTCCATAGCGGAAACTACAAACTTGGATAACTTGAAGATTATAAGAGCTGAGTACGTTCTCGTTTAATATACACAGGTAAACACAGATTAACACAGACTGCATGTGTTATTGTATATATCTTAGGTATGCGTAAAGATGTGTAAAGAAAGTTTCGATTACATGCTTTTTTTACTTTGAATTTATGACTTAACTTTGGCTACTCAGGTTGCAGGTTGATATCTTTACAATTATTCAATTTGTCATTGGTGATACCAAATTTAAAATTTATATAAAAACACAAAAACATATTTAGTATCGTTGTACTTATTAAAGTTCAATTTTTACTCGTTTGACTGGCGAATCTACGATTTACACCTCAATCCACTTGTTCAACGACAAGGGATTTGAAACCGGCAAAATATTGCGATTTGCGTTTGATAAATTGAGTAAAGCTAATTAAAATGTTAATTTCGTGAGCGTGTCTTAAAGACCAGGCAAAGTTATGAGGTTCAAATGGATCCAAAAAGTTAAACTTTTTAAATCGAATATACTAGGGAATATACTAGGAATAATAAATAAATAAAATGACATTAAACCTTTAATTTAGAAACTTTTTGTATTCTAAATATTATATTGCTAAAAACAGTCATTTAAGCCAAAAAAGTATTTTATTGTATTGACCATGCTGAGATCATTTTAAGGTCTGCTCAATAGCCAGACAATAGTTATAAAACCTGTGTAAAATACAGAGCCGGCTGAATGGGTTGATGTCAATTATTTTATATGACTGCAAGACATTGTATTACTCAATACAAGACACAGGCATGATATGTGTAGTCCATGCATGCTGTGCACACTGTGTAAGAAAAGTCTATTACATTTTATGATGTCATTTATTACGGGCATAACTCATAAGCTTTTGACAGCTCCTGTCACTGCCAGCTCGTCCCGTTGCGTTGCAGAGTTCAACGATATCTATCGGATGATCGATAGCGATAGGCGGCCTGATCTGGTTAATTAGACTGCCAACTTGGCCAGCTAACGGTATACAGGCAGCGCACTGCTGCCAATTAATTTGGCGCGAAAACAAGTTGCAATTGCAACTCGTACACACACAGGCGCACACCTAAATGGAAATGGAAATGGGCAGGAAAATGTGTGGTTAGTGCATTGTTTGCAGTTTTCACTTAGCGCATTTTTCAAATTTGCAGCGCTTGTAAATGTCGTTAAGTCATTTTAATGCCATTTACACAAATTGGTTATGCGTAATTTCCAATTGGTTTTTCATTTTATTTTGATTGCCGTATTTATCTCTGTGCAGGCAGTCGCAGTTACGTTCGCATTCGCTTTGGCCTAGCCTCGTTGCCTTTGCTTTTGTTTTCCGCCCAATTGAATAATCGAGAGCATAAATAATTTACAAGTTGGATTATGAGCTACAGATCTACGTCGGGCTGTACATTTTTAACTGTCTTAATTAGTTCATAATTTACGTTGTTTTATTTTTAACCTTCTCACCAATTAGGCAATTAACGCCAAGCTGCAAATTGCTTAAGCTCGAATTGGGGCTGCTAAATGTGCTGCGCATATGAATGAGAAGCGCAAAGAAAGGCGCAACTGTATGCAGTTGCATGTTATAGCTACCTTGAGAGAGAGAGAGAGAGAGAGAGTGCAAGAGCAGTAGGAGCCAAAAACACTTTTATTTTCTACATCACGTATCCACATCTTATCTTATCTTAACTTAGAACTATACTTTAGGCAGTTTCCACTCTTTAAAATATCTGACAACAATTAAAATGGGCAAAAAAATATAATCTCACTAATGCATAAAAATCGTACAGTTTATTAGATGTGTTTAATTGTCCGTTTCTTTGTAGAGCTATTAACAATCAGAATATTGGCTGGAACACTATTTTCAAGCAAATCGATAAGGTGGCATAACTTCTTCATGGCATTGATTTATACAGATCCGGGAATTCGAAATATTCTGAGCGTCACATATTTAGCTTTTTTTTTGTGCTTAGGTCTTTTTAGCACCTCAACTTGGGTTTAACTCGAAAGAATTTCAAGGTTCAAGCCACTAAACCCAATCGTGGCTAGCTAAATGTGAACTGTAATACCTTAGATAAAGGCAATCTTTGTTGTTGGACCCTCATAAACAGCAAGAAAAATATCGAAAAATATTGTAAACTTAAATTAAGTAATTCTGTTCTCGAAAGTACACTAAGACCATGTTTATTTTTTTTTTGGGTATGAAATGCTTATATATAAAAAACCTAAATGCATTTAACTCGTGTTTGATCTTAAGTTTAATTTATCTTTTTATAAATACATTCAGTATCGAATCAAGTCTTAGCTGATCCTAAACTCAGAACAAAGAAATCTCAATTGAAGACTGCCAGAACTTAGTACTAAATGATACGCACTTGCACCCCAAAATAAAACCAATATAGTCTTAAATTGAGCCCAAACTGTTTTTAAAACAATCCAAGTTTAATCTGCAAACTTGATTCAGCAACTTTTAACTTTATTCGCATCAAAAACTTCAGAATGTTTTAATTATCGATTGAACCGTGAACAGGTTTGTCTTCGGACCGTCGTCTTACTCGTTGTATGTGAACATACTTTCAGCGCCTGCTGTTTTGCTCCACTGTGCATTGGTTTTGTTATTGACATTTTTCAAGCCCGAGCATAACAAACAATATTGAGTTGACTTTGAGTTTTTACAAATATTTCTCTTGTTCAAATTGCTATCCCAATTAGCAGATAGTTTTGTATCTGTATCTAATAATTATATGCTGCATACATACACATATCGAAATCTGTGTCGGCTTTTGTTTTTGTTGAAGGCCGCCTTGCGAGACCGTAGTATGCCTTTATATTCTTGTATGGAAACGAGTCATACTAAAGTATTTATTCCGATTTATCACCTGAACTAGAACTACATGGAGAAGGATCTGGGCAAGGTAGTACTGTACACAACCAGCATGGGCATCATACGGGATACCTATGCCAAGTGCGCGAATGTCAAGCAGATATTGCGTACACTGCTCGTCAAGTTTGAGGAACGGGATGTATTCATGAGCATCGAGTATCAGCAGGAGATGCGGGATCGCATGCACCATGGCACGATACGGGTGCCGCAGCTATTCGTTGAGGGCCAGCACATTGGTGTAAGTATCTGACAGATACTCTTTGATTAAAGATACAAGTCGAACTGATATTGCATTTCTGCAGGATGCCGACACGGTGGAGCGTCTGAACGAGAGCGGCGAACTGCGCCAACTATTGCGACCTTATAAGGTGAGCCAAGACTGGTTTAGCTTCAATTTGTCATCTGTTATCTGTAATCTAAAACCGATTCCTTGATCTCTATTTAGTCGCTGGCCTCGGCGTACACCTGCCAGACCTGCGGAGGCTATCGATTGCTGCCCTGCCCCTCGTGCAATGGCTCCAAGAAGTCCGTCCATCGAAACCACTTTACCGCCGAATTCGTGGCCCTCAAGTGCATGAACTGCGATGAGGTTGGCCTGGTCAAGTGCCCGACCTGCTAGAGTCCCCCTCCTCCCCATTTGCCCTCAACTGGCCGCCGAAGCTGATTAAATTTTATTTATTCACTCGCGTACCATTTTATTTCGTTTCTAGTAATAATGCGTATTTACCCAAGAAGTGTGTGCTTTTTTTTTACATATTTTTTTTTTTTTTTTTTGATATATGTATATGTATGTATTTTGTATATCTACTTATGCTACGAAGTGCAAATGTTGTCGTTTGTTATTAACAGTTGTGATATTTGAGTCAGTTGGCTGCAAGTCTCGCATTTGGGACTTGGCAACAGCTCCTGAGCTGGCGATGTCCATGGGATAGTTGTGCGAAGAACTGCAGAATATATATACATATATGTATATATGTATTTATATACATAGTTTCTTATGTAAATCAAAGACAAATATAAAAAAATAAAAATTACTTAAGAAGGCAAGCGCCTCTATATGGTGTTCACCAAATAATTATTGTGCTGATGGATATTAACAATTAAGGACACATTAGAAAACAAAAGCTGGTATTTCAAGGGTTAATTAGAGAAATCTGCGAAACACTCCTCAGAAACCTTTGAAAACGAGTAAAAAGCTGATCTAATTATTACTATAGATGTGGGTACTACAGCTCTAGCTGCATTCATGTAGCGGGGATTCGAACCGGCGACCTCTTCGCTTGCATGTCTGGGTCACATGGACAGTTCATGGGCAGAACTACGTAGCAGGAATTTCGTTTTCGTGTTTCTTTTTATCCGTCAAAGAAGCTACTATTACAGAACAGCACAATAAGGTTTAATATACTTTGGGCAGTTCCAGGACTAAAAGTATAAACAGCACTACGGAAAATAATTAAATTTTTTGCTTATTTTTTGATAGGGTGTTCTGTTATAATTTTTATGTTTTATTCCAATTGTTGATTATATCAATGTAGCTTTACACGCATTTAATCGGAAGACAATGTTGGTAGGTAAATCTTTCTGTTTCTTACTACTGCAAGCCAGGCGCCAGTAATAACACAACAAGCTCCTTTTTATTTTCCGTGCTAAGATGATGGTGATGGTGATGGCAGCGAAGTTTAGCCTGAAGCGTGCTTATTGCTTAAGTCCCCCGCTCTGGAAACTCTCTAGGTCCACTTAAGAGCTCTAGTGCTTGTGTACTATGTTACGATATGTGACTTGCTTAGTGAAATCCACTAGTTAGCTTTGATTGCAGTTGATGGTGCGCTTGCGCAAGCGGAAATAATTTGAAAAAGTTTATTGCATACTTTGGGGCTGAGCAAAAATATGTAATACGACGGAGCAGTGTAAAAGATCATGCCTTGCTAACACCTTTTAATTAAATAGCTAAGTTAAGTCAAAGTTCAAGTTCAAGAAAAGCATCAAAAACTCCGCGGTCAAATGGTTTTTCGTCTGACCAACAGGCGAGAGGTCGCCGGCTCTATTTCACTGGTAATTATAAATTTTTATATTTGTTCATTTAAGTTCTTATAGCAATAATAATATAAATAATAATAAATAGAGAAAGCGTCTAATTGGAAAATTAAAGGGATTTAGCAAAATAATAATTAACATTTTTCTTTTGTTATGTTAATGTTTTCTAAAATGCTGGCAAGTAAACTCTTGATCGAGTAGCCGAACAGAGCTACCGGGAAAATATATTGTAAATTAAGAAATTGCTTGTTATACCCTTGCAGAGGGTATTATAATTTTGTCGTGAAATGTGTAACGCATAGAAGGAGACATCTCCGACCCCATAAAGTATATATATTCTTGATCAGTATCAACAGCCGAGTTGATATAGCCATGTCCGTCTGTCCGTCTGTCTGTTTCTATGCGAACTAGTCTCTCAGTTTTAAAGCTATCTTTATGAAACTTTGCAGAATTCCCTCTTTTTGTTGCACGCAGTTCATATGTCAAAACCAGCTGGATCGGACCACTATATCATATAGCTGCCATAGGAACGATCGGTCGAAAAGTAGGTTCTTGTATGAAAAACATTTTTGTTTATAAAGTTATCTTGACTAAACTTGGTATTTATTAGTTTTACTAAGCTCCCCATATATATTCTATTAAGATCGGGCAACTATATCATATAGCTGCCATAGGAACGATCGGTCGAAAATTAAGTTTTTGTATGGAAAATTTGTATGTTTTTCAAGATATCTTGACCAAACTCGGTATTTATTAGTTTTACTAAGCTCCCCATATACATGCAAAATTCTATTCAGATCGGGCAACTATATCATATAGCTGCCATAGGAACGATCGGTCGAAAATTAAGTTTTTGTATGGAACATTTTTATGTTTTTTTTTTATATCTTGACCAAACTCGGTATTTATTAGTTTTACTACGCTTCCCATATATATGCAAAATCCTATTAAGATCGGACAACTATATCATATAGCTGCCATAGGAAAGATCGGTCGAAAATTAAGTTTTTGTATGGAAAATTTTTATGTGTTTCAAGATATCTTGACCAAACTCGGTATTTATTAGTTTTACTACGCTCCCCATATATATGCAAAATCCTATTAAGATCGGACAACTATATCATATAGCTGCCATAGGAACGATCGGCCGAAAATTATGCTGTTGTATGGAATTTTTTTTGTTTTTCAAGATATCTTGACCAAACTCGGCATTTATTAGTTTTACTATGCTCCCTCCACTTTTGCAAAATCTTATTCACATCGGGCTACTATATCATATAGCTGCCATAGGAACGATCGGTCGAAAATTAAGTTGTTGTACGGAAACCTGTTTTGTTTTTCATGATATCTTAACCATACTCGGCATTAACTATTTTCCCTGTGCTTCTTAGATACGGGCATTTTGCTTAGATACGCATTTTGAAAAGGTTGGGTCTGCAAGGGTATTAAATCTTCGGTGTGCCGAAGATAGCACTTCTTTCTCGTTTTTTATTGCATTTGTGTACAGCCTGTCGGGTCTGTTTGAATCTAACACATGGCTGCTATTAGAATAAATCTGTTATGTCCGAAGTTGACGCGATTTACAAAAACAATTTCGGTGCCAATTCCTATTGGAAATAGTTAATTTGACCCGCGCAAAGTCGGGTAATTTCTTCTTGTCTTTCATATATATGTTTCATCCAGCGAGCACCTTGTATAAAAATGTGTTGCATACCTTCGGGCTGATATTTAAATTGGACAGTCTGTATGCGTAGACGCCTATGGATACCGAGTAGTTGGTGTATTTAAGAAACAACATATCTTAAGGAAAATGTAACTGCACATATTGTAGAAGAAACAAATACTATTAAGGAACAATGCAGCTTAAAATTTGCTAATAGAAATATGTATTTTGATCATGGATTCAACTCTAAGGTTCGGATTGCTGTCTTAGGTTCCCTCTTGAACATAGATTTAGTTTCGAAGCAAAACATTTCATTTTATTAAAATTGCATATTCACTTTATCGAATCTAGTTTATTCTTAATTTTCTGAATACTCAAAATGTGGCTAGCGCTATTTTTTTATACCCTTGCAGAGGGTATTATAATTTTGTCGTGAAATGTGTAACATAAGAAGCAGACATCTCCGACCCCATAAAGTATATACATATATCCATGATCAGTATCAACAGCCGAGTCGATATAACCATGTCCGTCTGTCCGGCTGTCCGTCAGTCCGTCTGTCTGTTTCTATGCGATCTTGTCTCTCAGTTTTAAAGCTATCTTTATGAAACTTTGCAGAACTGCCTCTTTCTGTTGCACGCAGTACATATGTCAAAACCAGCTGGATCAGATTGTTTATCAAGATATATTGAACAAACTCGTCATTTATTTGTTTTACTATGCTCCTTATTTTTATGCAAAATCCTATCAACATCGGACAACTATATCATATAGCTGTCATAGGAACGATCGGTCGAAAATTAAGTTGTTGTATGGAAAACTTTTTTGTTTTTCAAGATATCTTAACCATACTCGGCATTAACTATTTTCCGTGTGCTTCTTAGATACGGGCAAAGCACTATGAGCATTATGAAAAGGTTGGGTCTGCAAGGGTATTAAATCTTCGGCTTGCCGAAGATAGCCCTTCTTTCTCGTTTTTTTTTTAAATATCGCTCGCGCCTGATTTAGTTTTGGCTGGTTTTTGGGCAACTTAAACGGCTTAAAGGTTGTTTCATTGTCAAATAAATCTAAAAATTCCGGTTGCAAAGTGGTTCCGTTAAAATCCATTTGATGCATTCATTTTCATACGTATATTTTAAGTTCAAGAAGCGTTCCAGTCGCGCATATCGAAATTCCTTAAGAGTGTCTCGAGCTTAGCGACAGTTTAAGAAGACAACGCTGTGAACTGGGCATTTAATAATAATAACCTCTTGCTCGAGCCGAAGCTAAGGGAAAGGCGTAGGGTTACCGTTGTGCCGTAAAAAATGTATCTTATCCGTTTGCTGAATTGAGAAAACTTCGAATCGTGTGATTTATTAGGATTTTCAAATGCTTTAAAATATGCTATGAAAATTGTGTAAATTGATAGTAAATCGCAGTTGTTCTTGGATTTCTTGGGATTAGTTAGAGATTATGCTGGGTCAACAGCTGCTTGATTTGTGTACCCTAGGGTGTAGGGTGTAGGGAGTAGGGAGTAGGGAGTATGGCGTGAGTATTATTTAATTTTAGAGCGGCTGCTGAAAAACATCGCACGCCTTGCCGAAAATTTTAATCTCTCTATTTTTCTAACTCTTAAATATTTATATTTTATTCTGCCTGGTAATCGCAATCGTTTCGGGGCTGATTGGTTAATTGACATGTCTGGTCAAGGGCTTGTTCCAGAGCTTGGCGGGGAGCCGGAGTCATTGGCGCGAGAGTCGGAGCGCACCTGCTGGATATGCTTTGCGACTGAGGCGGAAAACCGTCTGGCCACCTGGTTGCACCCGTGCCAGTGCCGCGGCAGCACCAAGTGGGTGCATGAGAGCTGCCTTTATCGCTGGATCGACGAGAAGCAGAACGGAAACTCGCGAACGAAAGTCTCCTGCATGCAGTGCCGCGTGGAGTACATCATAATCTTTCCCAAGGTCAGCCGTATGGCTATGATCCTGGAGCGCTTTCAGGATCTAATCCGTCAGTGCAGTCCGTTTGTTGCTGCGAGCGCATTCCTCGGCTCCGTCT